TGTAGATAGTGAATATACTGCAATGTATAAGGTTGACTTTATCTCTTAATGGATCAATAGCCTAGATTAGGTAGTGTATCTAATTGCAGTATATACTTGATGGATTCACCTATATAAATGTGGGAGTGGGGCCGCTTCCTATCAGAGTTTGGGCTGGTTCTCTAGAGCATTTATAAATATCCAGGTAGGGTGCATGGCCTATTCGCACCAACCAGCGATGAACAAACTCAGATTAGAGGGTCTAATGTGGGTGATGAGTATAGTCAGTTTACACTAAAGAAATCTAGTTCATAGAAATTTTATATTTCACTGGACTTCTTTAAACTCTGCTTTATTTTCCTTAAGTGATGGTTCATAGTCCAAAAGACACCACCACAATGCATTAGATTTTTGTGTTCTCAAATCAAAGTTGTTGTTTTATATATACGTTATATTTTGAAATATATGGGAGATTATTGTATTTAACATATATATATTTTAAAATATAATATATATTTAATTATTTCTGACATATATATGTGTATAGAAATATAAATTAAAAATTACTTTTATACCTATTTGATGATTTGAACGGTACACGTTATGACAATTTGTCTTATTACTTACATTACGTTAATTTATTATATTACACCGAAATTATATTTTCAAAATCTTTGATCGTTGGTTAATAACCGTTGAATTTGCAATTGACCGTTGAACCATTGGATGCTAACCATTGCATCATTTGTCTTATTACTTATATTACGTTAATTTATTATATTACACCGAAATTATATTTTCAAAATCTTTGATCGTTGGTTAATAACGTTGAATTTGCAATTGACCGTTGAACCATTGGATGCTAACCATTGCATCCTTCTGCTATGTAAATGCAACATTTCAATTGCTATGTACAGCATATGACTGCTTGTGTACGAATAGAAGAAAGAAAAGAAAAAAGCCTACTGTTCAGACTTGAAAAAGCCAACTGTTCAGATCATAGTGTACGGAAAGGAAAAAAAAATGCAAAGTAAAAAAACCAAAATTTGATTCTAATATACTACTATTTGAGATCTTGGTATTGATTTGGAATGATCAAGAATTGTTTAAGACACCTCTACATTTACGAGTACACGCTTGTGGAGAAGCGATAGTTGAATTTTGAAAGATAGGACATCATAACTTGTTACACCGGATTTCATACTCAGAGGAGCGAAAATCTGTTCTTAAAGACAGTGACTATACGTTTCTATCGATAAATTTTTTTATCTTGTTTATTATCTGATTTTTAGTATTCTTGAATTGATATTTTCACAACATTGGGTGGTGTGGAGGTGGAGATGGAGGTGGAGGTGGAGGCGGAGGTGAAGGGGAACATGGTGTTATGTAGTGTGTTGGTGTTGGGTGAACATATGTAATTTTCTTTTTTTTATCTTTTCTGTTTACTTATTTTTTACAAATAGAATTTGTATCTCAAAAATAAGTATACGATAAATAATCTATATGATGGAAGGTATAGTGGTACTTCATGTTGCAACCATTGTTGTTCATCAATTTAGTTCGGTTGAAACTTGAAGAAAACAAATTGCAGCATTTGAAATTACAAGGAATTGATTACAACTGGAAGCATAGTTGAAGAGGACAAATTTTATATATATAGGTAAATACCACACTATCTAAATTACAATCACAATCTTATGTATTTAAATTTTCAAATTACCTTCTAACATCTCTTTTAATTTTCTATTATCTTTGTATAAATATCAATATCTACCTTAAGTGAAAAACTTTTGATTCACTATTTTATCTTTATAAAAAATTTTAAATATCACACTATCTTTTCATAGTTAAATATCTNGAGAGAACAAATTTTATATATATAATTAAATACCACACTATCTAAATTACAATCACAATCTTATGTATTTAAATTTTCAAATTACCTTCTAACATCTCTTTTAATTTTCTATTATCTTTGTATAAATATCAATATCTACCTTAAGTGAAAAACTTTTGATTCACTATTTTATCTTTATAAAAAATTTTAAATATCACACTATCTTTTCATAGTTAAATATCTAAATTACNTCTTAAGTGAAAAACTTTTGATTCACTATTTTACCTTTATAAAAAATTTTAAATATCACACTATCTTTTCATAGTTAAATATCTAAATTACAATCACAACCTTATGTATTTAAATCATCAAATTATCTTCTAACATCTCTTTTAATTCTTTATTATTTTGTATAAATATTAATATCTATGAAAATTTTTAATCCACTACGCAACTCTTAAAAAAATATATGCATCATTATAGTTTTCAACAACATGTGCAAAAAGTCTATCAAAAGATCATTATTCTTTTTAAATAAGAAAATAACATTATATATATATATATATATTCTATCTACACTACTAATAATCTATACTACTAATAAAAATATCTTATAATGAAAAACTTTTGATTCACTATTGTATTCTTATGAAGACTTTTAAATATCACACTATCCTTATGTAGTTAAAGATCTAAATTACCATCATATAGTTATGTGTTTAAATCTCCAAATTACTTCTAGCATTTCTTTTAATTCTTTATTCGTTATGTATAAATATCACGATCTATGAAATTTTTTAATTAACTATGTTACCTTTAAAAAAATATATGCNGTTAAATCTCCAAATTACTTCTAGCATTTCTTTTAATTCTTTATTCGTTATGTATATATATCACGATCTATGAAATTTTTTAATTAACTATGTTACCTTTAAAAAAATATATGCATCAGTATAGTTTTCAAAGATAGCATTAAGCTTATATATGTTTATTTTTTTTATCTAAAATTTTAGCTATTTCATTTTTAAGATGAAAAAATAATCTTTTATATATATTTTTTAAAATAATTTATGTTAAATCAACATAATTCTTTCTTCACAATAAATTTTTTATTTTTTATTAAGAGTTTATATACAAAAATTATAGTGTATTTTTAAGTAAAACTTGAATTTTATAATTTTAATATTCTTTTAAAATATATATTTTAGAGTAGTATATTATATTTTAGGGTTAATAGCACTTTTAGTCCCTAAAATATACATGTTTTATCAGTTTGGTGCTCATTGTATCAATTTTGTCAATTTTGTCTCTAAAGTAAGTTAGTGACTTAAATAATCTATACACAGACAATCTGTTAAGTTTTTAACATAAGGGATCACACGTTGATCATGTGATACTATCTGACAGAATTATATGTGGTCGCTTTCNTATCAGTTTGGTGCTCATTGTATCAATTTTGTCTCTAAAGTAAGTTAGTGGCTTAAATAATCTATATACAGACAATCTGTTAAGTTTTTAACATAAGGGATCACACGTTGATCATGTGATACTATCTGACAGAATTATATGTGGTCGCTTTCATTAAAAAATTTAATGAATTGTCTAGTTAGAAATCATTTAAATAAAAATTGAATATTTTATGGACTAAATTGATAAAATTCATATATTAAGGACCAAATTGACAAAAAAAAATACATTCTTTAGAGACCAAAAGTGTTATTAATCCTATATTTTATCTCTATGGACCTAAGAATATTGAAAATTAATGTTATTTTATTCAATGCATTATAAGTTGAAACATAATNCTATGGACCTAAGAATATTGAAAATTAATGTTATTTTATTCAATGCATTATAAGTTGAAACATAATCAAATGAATTATTTTTATTTTTTTACTTAAAGTTAGAACAAATCGCTGGGAACAGAAAATATTTTTCAAGTTTTATAGTATAATACAAGCAATAAAAATATAATTTTGATAAACTTGAAATGATATTTAACGTAGATACAGATATACCTAATAATTTTTTATTAATAAAATATAGGGATTATCACTTCTCTATTTTGTAAACAAAATGCCTATTAGAATCAGACTCAATGAACATCCTATATAAGCCCATTGGGTAACCTGACTGGAAAATTCAGGACTGAAGTATTTGGACGGGTTGTCCGGACCCGCCATGGCCCATTGATTGTCCACCTCACCTGACTTAATATTAAATTAAATATAATTTCGATACATTTGGTTGAAAATGTTATGTTTTTAAGATGAATCACTAATTGAATCAAAATTCTACTAATTTAAAGTATTTTAAGATATTTTAGCATGTTTTTACCCATATTTTGATTATGTACTTGACCTGATTTATTATTAAATAAAAATAAAAATTTTGTTTTGAAAGGCCGATATAGTTGAAAACTTTTTTATTTAAAAAAATCGAAATGAATTGNATAAAAATTTTGTTTTGAAAGGCCGATATAGTTGAAAACTTTTTTATTTAAAAAAATCGAAATGAATTGGTAATTGAATCAAAATTTATTGAAATATTTCGATATATTTCTATCAATGTTTTGATGTGTTCCAATAATATTTTGAATTTTGAATTCAAAATTTGATAATTTTTTAGAGTAAAATCATAAAAAAGTTATCTCTCATAAATATTTTAATTCCGNATAAAAATTTTGTTTTGAAAGGCCGATATAGTTGAAAACTTTTTTATTTAAAAAAATCGAAATGAATTGATAATTGAATCAAAATTTATTAAAATATTTTGATATATTTCTATCAATGTTTTGATGTGTTCCAATAATATTTTGAATTTTAAATTCAAAATTTGATAATTTTTTAGAGTAAAATTATAAAAAAGTTATCTTTCATAAATATTTTAATTCTGNTTTGAATTCAAAATTTGATAATTTTTTAGAGTAAAATCATAAAAAAGTTATCTCTCATAAATATTTTAATTCCGATATTAATGATATATTTTTTAATTCATTAAAAAATTAATTGAAATATTTCCATTTTCCGCCGACTTTTGCTTGATTTGTCAAACAGACCCTAAAACTTTGTTTGGCTTTTAAGTCTAGTCCTAGGTATAGAACACGCAATAGCCTTCTACTTTGGTTCTCCTACTGTGCTTTTAGCTGACAAAACCAGACGCTAGAGGGAGAGTAGGAGAGATAATGGCAGTACCAGGAAGACGCAACGGTTTGATGAACGATGAGGAGGAAGAAGACGCCCTATTCGAAGACGTAGAAGAAGGAGTGTTGCTCGAACCGGAGTCCGACATTCCTCCGCACCTCCGCGACCTTGCCGCCGCCGCCGAACTCGGCGACGTCGACGCCCTCCGCCAAGCTCNCTATTCGAAGACGTAGAAGAAGGAGTGTTGCTCGAACCGGAGTCCGACATTCCTCCTCACCTCCGCGACCTTGCCGCCGCCGCCGAACTCGGCGACGTCGACGCCCTCCGCCAAGCCCTAGGTACGCTATATATGTATACACGATCACCTTTAATTAATTTCTTTTATTTGTGTTCTATCACACGTTTGTACTGTCCGTTTTGGTTTTTAATTTTTCAACCAAAACTTGGTTTATTATAAGATAGGGATGTGTTTTCCGGTATATCATATCTTTGGAATTAGAGGATTTAGGGCAAGCTCTGGTGGATAAGTGGGTTTTAGCACTTGAAGTTTATTAGTCTCTGTGCTTTTAATTTGGAATTGTGACTCTAAAACCGCTATTGAATTTGAAAATTATGGGGGGTCAAATGGTATTCTTGGCATTGTTTTTCGTTTTCCAGGTTCAAAGACTGCCCATACATAGCTGTTATTTACAGTTTTTATTTATTTCGATAACCCCCCACCTCCCCATTGTGATTGGGAGTTCCTGAGGTGGATATGGTTAAATAGTGGAGACTCTCCGCTAGAGATCCCTAGAAGGTTAGAAAGTATGATCACATGCCTAATTGCGCATTCACACGGTCGTGACAGGAAGAAAATGTGCACCAATCAATCTACGTTCTGGAATTTATTTGCAACCATAGTCTATGCGGTGATTGAAACATAGTATTCAAATTATGTGTGATAGCCATGTATGTCATATAGCATGTCAGAATTGGATATTCATGTCCTACATCCTTTGAATTTATATGGGAGAAATGCTGCTTGTCATTAGTAGAATTAAGCTAAAGGGGAAGTCTACCTTGTGCAATACCACTCTTAGTCAATTCTTAATCAGGCAAAAACGTTGGGCATTGGAGTTGAAATCTTATTGTAGGAGTTAGTAAATTTTGAGGGTGTATGCTACAATAATATTCTTGGGGCTTCCCAGGGAATGAAATCCTTTGTTTAACAGGACCCGAGTTCAGTCCATTCTACATGTAATAGCATATATTATTGGTCTTATTTATTTAGTTTGTGATGCATCTCTCTCCCTATTTGAAGCAGGAAAATAGGTTTAGAATGTTTGACTTTTCAAAATTTGAAATGTAAGTTGAGTAACAATGGATCTGGTCAATTTGGGAATTAAACCTCAATACTGATGTTATTCCCTCTGAAATAATCACTAAAGGAGCACATGTTTGTTGTGTGTTGGAGCTACTCTTGTTGAGGTCTACTGGAGCAACTGTGATTTAGCCTTGCAATAATCTGACTCTCTCTAGCAATTCATTTTAGTCCAGCTATGGTTTTCTATAAATCATGAACTGTGTCGTGAGAAGTTAGACCCAGCTCAGTTGGCTCTCAAATAATGGTATCAAGCAAACCAGACCCCCACGTAAGTTTGATAATTTGCATTTTGTGGCATGATATATTTTTTTTATTCTCATGGATAACTACCTAACTTGTTCTTTAGTTGAACAGAAATAATGATGTTGACTTGAGTAGAAAAATAATTTGGCGTTTGATGTTGTACAATCTGTTTTGGGGGATTTGTCATGTCTAACGCCTAGTGCCAATGTCAAAATCCATGTGTCTTCAAATTGTTGGCTTTCGAACTTCTTTGTATTTGGTTTTATCACCTGTTGTAGGAAGGGATTTGACCATATCACTCAGAAGGCAATGATGAGATTATATTGCATTTACTTTTTTAATGGGTTCCTAAGTGGTTTTATTACCTGTAGTGTAGATCATCTTGTTTTTTGGTGTATAATGATTTGGATATCTGAAAGAGAGACAAATCTTTGAACTTTACTTGGCAACTGAATTTATAGCAAATTTGACTAAAACAGGATTGCTTGTTCTCAATGACAATCTAACGAACATTGCCATCACCACTATCATTACCTTTGAAATTGTTTATATCTTTGTTTTCATGACTACCACATCTGAAGGGAGAAAATATATGCAATGAGTATTCCTGTCACCCTTGTACTAATGATTTCCCTATTTAATGGACAACTACAGATAATCTGAATGGCAGTATTGATGAACCAGTGGAAGATGGGGACACTGCTCTTCATCTGACCTGTCTCTATGGCTATCTTCCTTGCGTACAGGTCAGTTACCTTTGAATTGTTTATTTGACTTAATAACTACTACTACTTTTGTGTCATCGATGTAATCTCCATCTTTATTGATTTAGTGTTATTAGTTTTACTATTGAACATAAAACTGGAACTATGCCGTGTTATTATGGAATTTTTATTGCATGTAGCTATTGTTGGAAAGGGGAGCTTGCTTGGAGGCTAAGGATGAAGAAGGGGGAATTCCTCTGCATGATGCTTGTGCAGGAGGTAGGCTATGACTTTCACAAACTACCTAGTACCTACCACTTGCATCTTTTTGTAAAATTTTTATTAATTTGTGATTTTGTCGATGATTATCTGCAGGATTTACGGAGATAGTCCAACTTCTAATCAATAGCGCTAATGATCCCGTGTGTGTAAAGAGAATGCTTGAATCTGTTGATGCAGAAGGTGATACGGTCAGTAGTTTTCTGCTCATAGAGACTTTTCAGTTTTGGTTAAGTCTGAAAGGTCCCAATATTGGGTTAGCTGGTAAAAACCTTATTAAAGCAATTGGCCTTTGGTTAGCTACTGGAATCTTTCCAGTTGTCCTTATGTTGATTGCCCTTAAACCCGAACACCCTTCCCTGAGCTCTTTGTGGCTACCCTCTGATCATCATTTTGATATATTTCTTGGGGGGTATTTGTGTAGCCTCTTCATCATGCAGCAAGAGGTGAACATCTGGATATTATTCAATTGTTGCTGGCCTCTGGTTCTTCTCCTACTAAGACAAATATTTATGGGAAGGTTAGCATTTCAAGAAGTTGCTTTTCTTTCTTTCCTTTCACATAGGAATCCTAAACCATTCTTCTTGCAGATCCCGTGTGAGCTTGCTGATCCGGGGACAGAAGCTTGGAGAATTTTGGAAGAGGTTGCTGGTATTGTGGCAATCCATTAGTCTCACTTGCAAGAAATGTTAAATTTTATTTTTAGCTATGGCCTCTGTTTCTGCTGGCCTTTCTGGTATAGGTGGTAAGACATAATTATTTATGAATGTTCATCAATTTTGGTTGTCAAATGCTTTCAGAAGTCCATGTTCAAGATAATTTGGGGAATTTGAATATGCAATGGAGTGAATACACTATCAGGTAATAATATATCTGGGCAGTACCATGAATCTGCATACGAGTTTTTTTTTGGATGTTCACGCACAAGGAAATCTGCATACGAGTTTGCATGTAAGAAAGTGGACTTTTTAGTGATCTATGAATGGCTAAGCCATGGCATTGCATTCTGATGGTGGTGAGTCCATTGGGAAAAAAAAGCTACACTCGATCTAAGATCATGCCCCGGGTTTGAGAGTTCCTGAAGCATCGGACAATTGTATATGCAAATTGCTTAAGATACTATTCAATCTAGCTCTGGTTGTTGCAACGGTGATACTTTGTTATCTTGCTTCGTCAATCAGAAAATGTGGATATCATTAAGAATTAAAAAGGATAGAAATTCGGTTGTTTTCAAATTTAAATTTTCAATTCTATTACAAACAATTAGAGGAAATGAAAAAAAAAACAAGGAAAATGTACATTGAGACCAAATAGCAGTCGAATAGGGATTAAGATTTCTTCTAGTAAATTTTTCCTCCAATAGACACTTGACCAATATTACCACATTTTCACTATTTTATCAATTAATCACAACTCATTCAATTTTTTTTAAAAAAAAAATCAATTTCAAGCCCATATAAATTTTAATAATTCTAGAACTACCTATATTATGTGATGAAAGAAGAAGTCTAGAAGGGTGAAAAGAAACGAGCCAGAGCAAGACGGGTTATAAATTTCGTGCATCGCACGGGATGATTGTTAGTACTTATATAAAACAAAGGGAAAATTTCAGTTACACCTCTTTTAGTTCATCATATTTTCAAAGACACTCACTCTATTTTTTGAATCTTCACTGATATCCCTGTCAGATGAAAGGTGTTAACAAGAATGCAATTTTATTAAATTACTCATGATATATTTGAAACAAGATTTTATCCACACCTTCGCTAAATAAATATATATTTAAGAAAAATACTATGTAACTCAAATTTTCAACCCAAAATTGTATCTCAAATGAAGGGGAATCATTGGAAGAGTGAGTCCCATAAACTTTTTTAAATGGAACCCACTGATCCAATGGTCCCCTTTCAGTTGGGATACAAATTTGGGTTACATTGCATTGCTCTATTTTCAATGAGACCCCTTCTATTTACTAAATATTTTTAACATATTAAAATTTGGGCCAACCTAATTAAAATTCATTTTTTACGTATTAAAATTTGAGCCGATTAAAATTCATTTCTAATCGGCTCGAATCAAACTTTAATCAACTCCTATTTTAATTGGCACGAATTTTAATAAGTAAAAAAATATAAATTTTAATCGACTCAAAATGAATTTTAATTGGCGCTAACAGCTCAGGTAGAGCTCAAATCTGCTAGAATTTGAATTCCTAAAAAAGAAATTTTTATAGGCCCGAATTTGAATATGTAAAAAAAAATAAAATTTAATGAGCTCGAATCAAATTTTAATATGAAAAAAAAATTAATTAGTTTAAATTTCAATATATAAAAAATAAATTTTAATCGACTTGAATTGTATATAAAAAGATTGTTTGAAGTTTATGTACGGACAATTTTGGTATTTAAATGAATTTCTTTTTGTTAAAAATGGTGATTTAACAATAAGGGGTGTCAGTGATGTTTTAAATAACAAATGGAGTATCCTTGAAGTTATATTAAAGTATAAAAAGGTGTGACTGAATTTTTTTCTAAAACAAACAATTTAGAGGTAAAAGGGCTCGGGAAGCTTTCGCTCCCCATTCCCTAATTTCTTTAATTCAATATATAACGTTTCTTCTAATCAAAATGTTGTCATTTGTCATTTTCAACCCTCTCTCGATTCGTTTATAATCAAATATTGTTTTTCAAATTTATTCAAAAAAATTACTTGTTACCACCCAAAAAATTTCTACAATCATTTATTTAACTTCTCAAGTAATAAAACAAAAGAAGAAAGAGAGAAATTAAAAAAAAAAAGATGTTATTTATAATTCCATGCAGCATAAAAGGTAGACCGCTAGTGTGTGTGTATATATATATAATAATAAACAAATTAAATGGGAGTTGGCTTGAGAAAATTTATCTCTTTTTTNGTAATAAAACAAAAGAAGAAAGAGAGAAATTAAAAAAAAAAAAAAAAGATGTTATTTATAATTCCATGTAGCATAAAAGGTAGACCGCTAGTGTGTGTGTATATATATATAATAATAAACAAATTAAATGGGAGTTGGCTTGAGAAAGTTTATTTCTTTTCTNTTATAATTCCATGCAGCATAAAAGGTAGACCGCTAGTGTGTGTGTATATATATATAATAATAAACAAATTAAATGGGAGTTGGCTTGAGAAAATTTATCTCTTTTTTTAAAAAAATCTTATAAAATATTGATTTACTAATTATTGCTTATGTCTGAAGGTACAAAATAATAAAAAATGGTAAACAATAATTTATTTATATTCATATTCAAAAATCAAAAATCAAATATCAAATATCAAACATAGATAATAAATAAAGGAATTTAAGTATCGATTTGTAGTGAGAGTGATAGATGGTGAGCGACAGTAGTGATGGTAGGAGACAATGATGGTTGTGGTGGGTGACAATGATCGTGGTGGTGGCAATGGTGGTAGTGGCGACGACAACGACGATGGTGGTGGTGACGGGGGTGGTGATGGTGATGGTGAGATTGGGGGTGTCAATGGTGGTTGTAGCGGTGATGGGGTGGGGGTTGGCGGTACTGGTGGCGGCGACGACAGTGGTGGTGCTGGTGGTGGTGGCGATGGTGATGGGGGTGCGGGTGGCAGTGATGGTGGTGGTGGGGGATGGCGGCGGTGGTGTAACGCCCCTAAAACTGGGGGTCTTTTTTCAATCGTTGACAGCCCGCAGAAGTACCCGTGATCGTCGTACAATCCAACATCACGTCAATAACATTCCCCTTTAACTAGGATTATAAGTCACACGTGTAACCCGTGTATATTTTATCATTTAATCAAATCATGGTTTAACGTACCACATTTCATATTTCATTATAATCCATTTATATCCTTGAAACCAAAGAACCCATAGCCCAAAACCTTGGCGAATAAATTTTAAAATTTCAAAATTTTGGAAAGAATACCAGTACAGCGTACCGGTACTGTGAACCTTCTGAAAAATCCGTATTGGTACGGCATACCAGTACGCTCTACCTTGTGAACAAGACTGTACCGGTACGGTTAACCCACTGAAAAATCTATCCCAGTAGGGGTGGTCACTGGACCTTGTTGTATCGGTACTCAGTACAGGTACGCTTTGCCCACTTTTGCTTATTTCATCTGCTTTTCATTTTCAACTCATTTCTAAGCATATTATTTTCATCCAACTCATGTATAATGAAGATTTTCATGTAATACAAGGTCGATACAAGTTCTATTACATTCAATTCAATGTATTTACATACCAAAATAGAATTTTATAATTGTTTTACAAAATTCAAAATAAAGCCACATTCCGGCTTTCTTCACTCTTGGGGTCCTGTGTGAGGGTCTTCCACAGATGTATATCTCACACCTGAAATATTTTTTCGTATAGGGTGAACTACGCCCAGTAGAGTATTTCCTACCGAGGTTATTTCTCAACCTAAGTACATATGAATGTTCATACAACACTTAACAAACAACAACATCCCAACAAGAATATATTATTAAATGTTGAAATCTTAGAAGTGTCATGTCATGAAATGAGATGAGATTCACTTATGCAATTCAACCCGAGCCCATCCCTAGCTCTTTTCCCCCCATGTATGTCATGAGTATAAAAATCGGCTTTCTCAGCCCCACNCATCCAACTCATGTATAATGAAGATTTTCATGTAATACAAGGTCGATACAAGTTCTATTACATTCAATTCAATGTATTTACATACCAAAATAGAATTTCATAATTGTTTTACAAAATTCAAAATAAAGCCACATTCCGGCTTTCTTCACTCTTGGGGTCCTGTGTGAGGGTCTTCCACAGATGTATATCTCACACCTGAAATATTTTTTCGTATAGGGTGAACTACGCCCAGTAGAGTATTTCCTACCGAGGTTATTTCTCAACCTAAGTACATATGAATGTTCATACAACACTTAACAAACAACAACATCCCAACAAGAATATATTATTAAATGTTGAAATCTTAGAAGTGTCATGTCATGAAATGAGATGAGATTCACTTATGCAATTCAACCCGAGCCCATCCCTAGCTCTTTTCCCCCCATGTATGTCATGAGTATAAAAATCGGCTTTCTCAGCCCCACCATTGGCGCTACACACCAAATGACTATTTAAAAAATTCTGGGTCTTTCTTGGGGTGGGTATTTATAAACTTACACCAACGGCACCTAGCCGAAACGAAATTCATGGACATCAACCAATGGTTTCGAGTACACCGACATACTTTATAGGCTCTTATACCAACGGAGTGCGTATCCGATTACCAGATATCTCACCCGAGGGATAGTCTAACTCTTTTTGGTAACTCCGACCTAATTCTTTATCCATACCACCATATGACTCAGTCGGATCTTCGATCCACTACTATCCCGAACCCACTCATCATCCACTAATTAGGTGTTTGATATCAACCATGCACACATACACACACACACCCACACTCATGACTTTGGATGTGGTTCCTCCATGCAAATGCAATATAATGCACCATTATTATTTCAATGTCATGCCCTCTATGTAAAGAATGCCACATGAGTAAAATTAACCACATTTAAACATATTTCATGACAATTTATATTCAAAGTATATAATTACCAATTTCATCATAATGTTGATATATCTATAAGCATAAATCAACATTTTTATATCCAACCATACATCACAAGCATGTTATTACATATTATATGTCAATAACATACTCTCTTCACAAGGCATAATAAAAGCACATAGCATGCCCACATAATACCAATTTCTATGGAATTACACAAGTAACTATCACATACCAATTCCATGTGTAGGAATTTATTTTAAACTATTTTATACCTATTTTCATACCCATTTCATCAATTTCACAAACATAGGTAAATGATATAAGTTTTTATCAAACTACTCATTTCATATAAACACCCTAGATTGTAAAATAAATCCAAGTAGGAAGGAACCATACCTCTTGAAGTGTAAAGAACACATAGAAAACCCTCAAGAACTTCAATCAAACTCAAACCCCTGATTTCCTCAAGCCCCGTTTTTGGAACTTCTGTAAAGTCTTCGATTTTTGGTAGGTAGGCGTAACCCTTGACGAGAAGAATGACTTTCCCTCTTGGCCTAAACGGATTCGACCATTAGAATTTCGTAGATCGTAGAGAGAAGTGGTGAAACTCTCTCTTTTCCCTCTCTTCTTTTCTCACGTTGAAATCGGCTAAAGAATGGAAAGAAATCTGATATTTCTCCCCTTTTTATACCCTCAAAACACTTGGCTCACAAACGCACCACAATTCCTCTCTNAGCTAGTTAAGTTCATATAATATTGTTATTAGTAATTTCCATATTAAATTTTGTTTTCGTTAAATTCTGCAATTGTTCAAATTTATGCTACACAGACTTGACTACGATACTCCATCTAATAGCTTTGGTGGAGATTGTGAAGCCTAGGAGCTTTACAGCTACTTCGATGAACAGTTTTCAGAGGACATTGAAGAGGTTAAGATTGACTTTCGAAGAGGTTTTTTGATCGTGTTTTTGTTTCTTGTGCTAACTTTGGAAAAGGGTTGAGAGTGACTCTCTCCATCTTTGTTTTGCTTGTTGCACAAGAGAGAGAGAGAGAGAGAGAAATAAGTATTGTGTAGAAAAGAGAGAGGTCGAAGAGGTTGTACAAGAGAGCGTGTTTCTGGTGCTGACCACAATGCACCCAAAACGTGTTTACTGTGCTGTCATAAAAAGCCTGATTAATAATTATATTTTTTAATTTAATTTAAAAGTATCATTATTGAAAAACAAATTTATTGATCATGCTTTTTTTCACGAAAAATGATTTGTTTGATTTGTTGACCCTGTATTTAAAAATTAGTTATTGTCTGTGTCTAAAGACACAAAATAATAAAAAATGATAAACAATAAACATATTTATATTCATATCCAAAATTAAATCACACACATAAGAGATAAACGAATTTAAACATCGATTTGTAGTGGAGGTGAGAGGTGGTGGGCGGTAGTTGTGGTGATAGGAGACGGTGATGGTTATGGTGGGTGGAAAGACCGTGGTGGTGGCGACGACGGCGATGTGGTCATGGTCATGGTGGCGGCGACAGTGGTTGTGGTAGTGGTGGCAGCGACGGTGGCGGTGGGGGCGGCGACGGTGGTGGGGGGGGCGGTGGTGGTGGGGGTGGCGGTGAAGGTGGGGGTAAGGGTGGCGGTGGTGGTGACGATGGTGATGACGGCGGTGGCAGTGGCGGTGGGGGGTGGCAGCGGTGGTGATGGTGGTGATGACGACAACAGTAAGGGTGGTAGCGACGACGGTGGGAGTGGGGGTGGGGGTGGTGGTGGTGGTGGCTGCGACGACGACGATGGCAGTGGTGGGGCAGTTTCAAACAATATTTTTTTAAAAGTATTTATGAGAAATAATTTTTAAAAAGTCACTCAAAACACACCTTTACGAGTCTATTTTTCCTATTAAATATATAGTGTTAATATTAGTTGTTAGATTAACTTTAAAGTAGAATTTAAAGTTATCTGAACTGCGAATTACAAAAATTATTTTGTTTATCTTTTAAGATTTGAATTTTTAAGATACTTTACTATATAAATTTAATTAGTTAAAACCTAATCAACACTTGCTACCTACACATTTCAAAACCACTTGAATGCTTCAAAATAAGAAAATTACTAATAAATATTATTTTGCTCTACAAACATCCATTAAATTCTATCATTTTAATTTTATATCAATGAAGTCCTATTTTAATATTTTATTTCAATTAAGTCTTAAATTCTATTAGATTCTAATTTTATCCTCTACCAAAAATCTTTTATTCTTTGACATTCTTATGTCAATTTGGTGACATGCTCTTGGGGCATTTCAATTGCTATGTTACTTTGTATTCTTTCTGGTATGTCGACTTCGACGACATACCTTAGATGTTTGTAATTGTTATGTGATTTGTTTTCTTTCTCACAATAAACTAATCCTTACTTTGATTATAATAAATTATATTATAAATTCCATTGATACATTATATTTGTGGTTTTATATTATTCTATTAATTTATATTAGATTTAAAATGTTTAAGTTAGGGATTAATTTTAGTTGTTGTGTTTGAATCGCTAATGACATTAAAGTGAAATTAATTGACAAATTATTATCGACGTAAATTTTTTTTACCTTTCTTATTTTATTAAATAATTATCAAATTTTGTCTCAAATTTTAAGATTAGACACCCTAATGAGTCATGTGATGAAATTTATGTTAGCTCAATTTTTTTTTAAGCAAAAGAATAAAAGGATTNGAGTCATGTGATGAAATTTATGTTAGCTCAATTTTTTTTTAAGCAAAAGAATAAAAGGATTTTTGTTATAGTCACTCCACGTATTACACGGGGTCCCCTGCCGCACCTCTGGTATCTAATGCTTTAAACACGATAATTGAGCAATCAGTGGTCGGTGTACTGCCACGTCATCAGTCACAGTGATGTCGAAAACAGCAGATTCAAGTTTAAAGTAGTCTTCAGGGAGAGAGTTATCCTATTAACTCTGGTTAGTTCCGTTGTTGGACTTCCAAGTCAAATCAGTTTTAGAGGAGAGAGAAACACGAGAGCGGAGCGAGGGGGGCGACCGGCGAGTCTCCTGCTTTTTGTTTGGTTTCTCTCTCTCTCTTCGATCTAAAGAGGTTGGAGTCCTAAATCATTTCCAGATCCGAGTCGGAGAGAGCTTAGCTTTCATTACGCCGTGAAGATGGCCACTGCGCCTGCTAGAGCTCGAGCCGATTACGACTTCCTCATCAAGCTCCTTCTTATCGGCGACAGCGGCAAGTCACTCTCTCTCTCTCTTTCTCTATACACACACACACACACACACACACACAGGTCTGATCAATTTTCGGATCAAAATTAAGGTTTAGATGTCAAATTAGAATAGGTGAACTTGCCAATCAAGTAGTCAGGCTCATTTTACCCGTCTTAAAACTTGGGGAGTAGTGAATACTCAAAAACCTAAATATCAGGGTTTTAATTTCTTGTTGTCACATTTTATTGGCAATTATACAGTGCATATAAGTATTAGCTCTGAAGATTTTGTGTTTTGTAGAATTAAGAGGAAGCAGTTGTGTGAAAAAAAAAAAAACGAAGGTTCAAGNGTTGTCACATTTTATTGGCAATTATACAGTGCATATAAGTATTAGCTCTGAAGATTTTGTGTTTTGTAGAATTAAGAGGAGGCAGTTGTGTGAAAAAAAAAACGAAGGTTCAAGAAGAAATTTGGTACATAGAGGTAAAATTGTTACGCTTAAGAGTCTTGCAAAGACGTAAAAACGAAATTTTCGTAAGATTTATTTTGGTTAGTATGATTGTTTGGAGTTTGGAGGCATGGTGGCACTTTTTGGAGTGAGACTGGAGTAGTTTGCAGGTCTACCTTGTTTAAAGTATCTTAAGAAGTGATATGACCTATTATACTTTGACATGAGTCAGCATGTTTCCAAATTGGACCGTGGAGATGTGATCNGTTAGTATGATTGTTTGGAGTTTGGAGGCATGGTGGCACTTTTTGGAGTTAGACTGGAGTAGTTTGCAGGTCTACCTTGTTTAAAGTATCTTAAGAAGTGATATGACCTATTATACTTTGACATGAGTCAGCATGTTTCCAAATTGGACCGTGGAGATGTGATCTCTTATGCCATTCAGTCGATCACTTCTTTTTTGTGTATCAAAAAATGTGTATGCTACAATTGCAAGAGATATGATTATCTTTCTGGTCAATGGGTCATTTGGCCCATTTGATCCATTGGTAGAGTTTTTGAAGGCACATTAGCTGGTAGTTGCCTGTAGTTTCCATTCTTCAGTCATCAAAATGTAGAAGTACTGCAATTTTTTTTTTTTGAAGGTGTGGTGCTTGGTGGAGGCCATGGTGGTGGCCATCTGTGAGCTCTCCTGTGTGTGTTTGTGTGAGAGAAGGGGATAGCAGTGTGGTGTTGGCAATGTTTGTGCATGTGTGCAGTGAACGATCTGGCTACTTTTGGAGAAAAGAAGAGTAACATTGATAGTTTTTGAAAAAATCTTGCTTGACATCATCATCTTTATGGTCTAGCTGTAATGACCGGTAAAAGCAGGGGTACTACCCAAAATAGGCATGTAAATCAGAAAAAGGTGCAGTGTCATTTCATATAATACAAGGTGTGTCCCTGAATTTACTGCAATCTGTAGATCATGTGGCTTGATTCTTTATTTCTTTAGGTTTTTTTCCCTCTTTTATTTTTTGTTTGGGGGGGTTTATTTGGGTTGGTTCAACATTCGCATTTGTTCTTGAATTTTGGCTATGTTCATTGTTTTTTAGGCCGACTGTTTTCACCCTTAGAAGCAATCATGTTGCAGTAATATCTCTAGAAAAGGACCAAGCTTGCGATAATATTGTTCTTCAATGCATAATCTCAATTCTTTTGTATCCTTCTACCTAAATTATTTTTCATTGGTAGTTACTTGGACTCTTTTCTGCTGTTGATTGCATTGCCTTGATTTTACTCATCATTTACCCTGTGGCAAATTAGTTAATATGACAAAGCATTTGCGATGAGTTTCAGGCATCCTACTCTCTTCTATGTTTGCAGGGGTTGGAAAGAGTTGCCTGTTACTTCGTTTCTCTGATGATTCGTTTACGACGAGTTTCATCACCACAATTGGGTGCATTGTCTTTCCAACCTATTTTTCAATTAATTTGTCATATTCCTTGATTTTGTGCTACTTGCTAATGTATTACCGGCTTTTTGTAGGATTGATTTTAAAATTAGGACAATTGAGCTTGATGGCAAGCGCATCAAACTTCAAATATGGGATACTGCTGGCCAAGAACGTTTCCGAACAATCACAACAGGTACTTAACTATTTGACTTGTTTTTATTTTATGTTTTTGTCGTTTAACTTTTCATAAGTATTTGAGAAGTAAATGAGGTCTCTCCAAAAAAAAATGTGCCCAAACTTTTTTTTTATTTTTATGAATGTCAGTAATATAGTCCTTAAGCAGCACTTCATGATCTGCTTGGCTAGTTTGTTTTGAGTGTGAGATGTATATGTGAAATTGTTAGGTTGCTTACTTCCATTTTTGTGTAAATACCTGTAAAAGCACACGATATGATAATACGTTAAGCAGTGTAAAGGTCCTGGGGTTGGGCCATGGGGATATGAATAGAAAGACTATGAGGTCTGAGCATTTGAGATTTCCATCCGCCAGACTATTGGAGTAATCGAACTTGACATTGTGATCGAGCCGTACCAGTTCCAGATCAGTTTAAATGTGGTAGATTTGAGGCATTGTTCACTTTGCTATTGGGAATACTTTGGCTCCATTCAGCAGGGTCCTTCCCCATAAGGCCATTCTACGCTGCACCAAAGGGTAAAGTTCTTTATCGATGACCAGCTAGTCACTATCTTGGCTGATGACAAAGGAGTGGGCTCAAGAAAGGTAGAAATTGTGCAGCCATGTAGAGTCAGGACTTCAATTCCTATTGTATTAGTTGAGACAGTCAATTGAATCCCCCTCAACGCGAGGCCATCAAAAAGAATGAAGACCCGGGTGGAAAATACTAACCAATATGAAATTTCACCCTATTTTAGGATAAGGCAGTGTCTAGGGATTAGCTTTCAAGGAAGGCTTGTGCTGGTAACTCTTCCAAGGCACGATCCCACTTTACTTAGTAGGGCTTAGGAACGATGTTGGCAAATGATTGTTGAATAGAGTGACTCACAATATTTGGAAATATGCAACAGGGAGCAATCTCACATACTCAACATCTTGCATGAGCAAAGATAAACATAGACCCACCATCTCCTTCCAGTACCCAATAGAAAAATGGTTGTCATTGGGAAGTGGCATACTTAAAAGTGCATTATATTAAATTGCCGGAAATTAGCCTATGCTGAGATTTAAGTAAATAGTCCAGACCAGTCAGTATTATTGAACTTAATTTTTAATAGTTTTTTGGGTGCTATTAACTGAATTGTGCTCCATTGATATAGCATGTCGAAGAATTCCTGTATGACTTGGCAGACTGCAGTGAATTTTTTTTTTTAATTCCTGATACTGTGGTTTATTAGTGGACTTTGCATCATTTCTTTTGACATTCAGCTTTATTTTTATATTCTAATTATTATCTTCTTGTTTTTTGTGTAGCTTACTATAGGGGAGCCATGGGTATATTGCTGGTATATGATGTGACGGATGAGTCATCCTTCAACAGTATATCTATCTGCTATATCCTATTGACTTTTGCTCTTTCTCTTGCTTGTAGAATCTGTTTAGTAGCATACATGAAGCATTCATTAGCATGATTCCTCGTTTTTTTTTGTAGACATCCGAAACTGGATCAGGAACATAGAGCAGCATGCCTCTGATAATGTCAACAAGATACTGGTTGGTAACAAAGCTGACATGGATGAGAGCAAAAGGGTAATGAATAAACTGACCTATAATTGGTATGCAAGCTGCCACTTTTCGAGCATTATCATCAACTAGACTCACTTCTCTGTTTTTCTTTTTCTTTTTCTTTTTTTTTTTGGCAGGCTGTGCCAACATCACGGGGCCAGGCATTAGCTGATGAATATGGTATTAAATTTTTTGAGACGGTGAGTTTTGGCATTACTGTATGCACTAGAGATAGTCTGCTTTATACTGGATTCAAGAACCTATTTTATTGCTCCTTATCTCTTTTCATGAGTGATTACTTGGTGTGCATGTTATTCATTGGAATGGAAAGTTTCTGGCGCATGGAAGATGTGTTGGTATTTTTTTATATAAACATTAGGGCCAGGGCCCTGGCCCTTTTTAGATTTAACACTGTAGAAACTTGTTCCACAGAGTGCAAAAACAAATTACAATGTGGAGCAAGTCTTCTTTTCTATAGCTAGAGACATAAAGCAAAGGCTGGCAGAGACTGATTCCAAAGCAGAGGTATATATGTTGGCTAATCCCATTATGAGTTGCTAATTTAAGTAATGTGGGATTATGTAATAAATTGAATCTTCTTGCTTTGATCTTTCTATTCTGTATGCAGCCTCCAACCATTAAAATCAGTAAACCCGACCCTGGCAAGGGGTCAACTGCTGCTCCAGAAAAGTCAGCATGCTGTAATACTTGAGTTTCACATGAAGATCAAGGTTGCTCTGTACTTCCCTTGGACATGTGCTATAGTTTTGCTGTGCTGGGAAGAAGTTTCCTCTTCACCATGGGAAGAAGGCCCTGCCCACCCGTTCTTCTCGGTTTGTAACTCCTCGGGTTGTATTTCTCCCTCAACTTGAAAGGGAGGCATAGTTTGGATGTTTTATAAGATGTGGGATACCTGCCTTGCCGCTTGCACAGGTTCTCAAATAATTATTATATGGGTGCTTGCTTACCTTTTGAGTGCTTTGACCTGAAAGCTTATAGAACCTCGTTTACCATGTCTGGATGTTCAAGACTAATGTTGGTCCAGCTTGATTATCTAAATAATCAGTAGATAAGTGATGCATTCCATATTCTTTATTCTAATTATATTGGGTAAGCACATCAATGTCGTGTGTGTGTGCGCGCGCTTATTTTTGGGGACGATTGCATATTTTTATTTTTGATCAAAGGACGATTGTGTCTGGTTCGATTGAAAACTATTTGTTTAGAACGGGCTTTGCCTGGCGTTGTTTTACCATACTACTTTCTGTTGCCAATCAAAACAATTTCATGGATTCTGTGGTCATTTTCAGCACTCTCGGTTGTTCAAGTTTCAAAACGGGATGCAAAGTTATGAATTAGCATTAAATCCTGCAAAACAGGCGATTTTGTTTCTGTGACAACCTAGGTGAGGATTATTAACAAATACAAAATGGAAGAAACAAACAATTTTTTACAAGCTACCCCAGCACAGCCGCCAAGGACAAAAGAAAATCATAATGTACATAACCTGATAGATGTCATTGGGGAAAAAGCGCAGCATATGTGCCATTGAGGGGGAGGGGGCCTTTGTTGCAATGTTTTATGAGCAACAACCACCACTAGGAGGTGCCTGGTTTTCTGGTCTCTGCTTTAAGATGTTTCTCTTCACTGTAGATCCTTCTTCCAAAAGTCTTGGAACCTCCATTATCTGCAAAATACAAACAATCGACACAAATTGGAACAGATAAACAAGTATCTCTAATCCCATGGCAGCTACCCACGATCCAAAGCTTTTCAACAATTAGAGATCTAGTTAAAAATGATTTGTTTTTCCAGAAAAAATATGAATTCATCATGTTACTTTTTACCAATAGAACGGGTCCAAGTGCCCAAATTTAGTTGGTGTATAATTTCGGTAGTTTGAAAATGAGAATATTTCAAAAATTCATTGAAAACAGGAAAAAAGAATGAAACTTTAATTGCAAAACATTCAGAAACAGTGTTATTTCGATTTAATATCATTGATTCATTTCAATTTTCACTGAAATGAAAGCACTTGTTTTGGTTTCGGTAGATAGCTAAACGAAATTCTGTTTCATTGGATGAATCAAACTAGCGAGCTCACAAACTTGTTGCTTTCTTGAATCTCACAACCCATTCCAGATTGATTTTATGCAGATGAATGAATAATTTAAACATCAATAACTAAAATCTTATTTGTTGCGTAATTAAGATTCATCTGATAATAGAAGATCCTACAGGTCAGGTGAGAGGCATGAATTCCTTTACCTTTAACGCAAGCTCTTCAAAGCATTGTTCCACATTTTCTCTAGTTTTAGCACTGCATTCTAGAAATAAACATCCTAGTTCTTCTGCAAGAGCAACCCCTTCTTCCCTACTTACGACCCTTTCAGATTCCTGCAATTCCATGCAGAATGAGTTTTCATTCATCGTGAGAAGTCCTCATGATTCAATTGATTGAAAAAGCCACTTAACCAAATACAAACTTTGCTACTGGATAAAAGAGAAGTTTTTACATAAGACTAGTAAATTAGCTTTTTGCCAGACTTAAGTACAGGATATAAAGACTCGTAGTTCGGTGTCTAGACTACCAAACAATATCAATACCTGACCTTGAATACACTAACAAGTCTTCTCATGGTATTCATCTTGAGGATCACTCAAAAGCTTTTAAAATAGAAAGTATTATTTGGTAAATAAAGACGGTTTTTTATTAGAGGCATACACCAACATAGAATGTGTCTTTGTTTGAGTCATTGAGTCGAAGTATTCAAGTGTGAAGGTTATTCTTTGATGGCAATCCCGTTAGTGCATACTGAATTTTATATTTACTTTGCTCATGTTAGACCAGAAGAATACAGGAGTGGCAGGACAATCTTTCACCAGCTCTGTCAAGAAATGAAGATGACACCAAACACATACTCCAGATCATTTCATAGATTTTTATTGTCATTCAAAATCAACACAGAAAAAGAATAGTAATTAAAATAAAGTTGAATTGGTCAGTCTGGCAATGGAAAAATAAAGCAAACATGCCAAAAAGACAGAAAGAGCATAAGAAAAACACTTTACATGCAGCAATTTAAGTACAAAAGCTAGTTTCTTAGAAGAACCAGTGCAATTTGTATGGCTGTTTCTTGTCTTGTCTTTTCCTTTTCATAGTTTGGTTTGATAATGAACTCCAATATGTGTAGCCGATTCCAAAAGGTTATTTGGGTTGAGTTGAGGTTAATCAGTCCCCATATGGCATATGTTTTATTATTAGAAACCCATCTTGACCACTTAAACGATTGAATTTCAAAGATCATTTTCAAGCACTGAAACAGACGATGCAGAACTTACTCTGTCAACTTTGTTTCCAACAAGCATCTTCACACAATCCTGATTGGTGGAGTATAGTTCTACTTCTTTGGCCCACACATCTGACAAGTTTGTGAAGGGTTCTCTCCTTGTCACATCATAAACTATATTCAAGAAAGGAAATTAAACAAATTTGATGAAAACCACTAGAGAATTGTGCTTCCATAATATGAAAAGCCTCATATGAAAGATTTTTTAGAGTACGGTTGAAGGACCAAATATTTAAATATGTATGGTTGTGGCAACAAACAAAGAAAAATGAGCCAATATACTGTGCGCAAAACTAGAATGAAAAAATAACAGATAAACACAAAGTTGCATGCAGTGTATTCTGATACACGTGAAAGTTTCAATTTTACTTCCACTGTAGCTCAATATTTTCAGTGGAAACTGAAAGGCAAAGCAGAAGAGTGCATGGGCATGAGGTCAATCATTCAAGGTGCTCCTGTGGATGAATATGTATTTCTTTACCCCAGTGAATACATAATTGTGGGTATTTAAGAGGACTGGGTTATCGATACAGGTTGTCAATATCTCTCAACAGGAGATAAACCATACATCAGCCTTGTGCAGATAAAAAAATTGATCTTCATCGTGAGAAATAGGTTGAATACTGAGGCAAGTGGAATAATGGGAGCTGAGAAATCAACTCAACTCAACATGCCTTGTCTCAACATTTTTGGATCAACTGCATGAATCATAAATTTTCATTGCCACTGTATACTTCTTAAATTTAATATTCAATTGAGAAATTAACATTGTGATATATTGCTACTTTTAACTTGGGAAGAGCAATTACCCCCAGGGAGGATAACATCAGCAACATAATTGGAGTAAAAAAAAAAAGTTCCTATGTTGTTGATCCCATCATGTGAAGTCCTGAATTGGAACAAAAAGGTAATGTGATCCAAAAAACTAGAGCTGAGGGGGTAGATGATTTTTGATTGGCATAACCACTAACAACATATAAGATCCAAGCAAATTTGTAAACATAGAGCATCAAGGGGACTGAGTAGTAAGAAAACTCAAAGATGACTAGAGTAGTGAACAGTACATTCTTAATAAGTATTTATAGAAAATGGTTGATTCCCAGACCCTCTGATAGAACAGAAGAGTTCATACAGTAGCGTACCAAGAATGATCCCCTGGGCACCTCTATAATAAGAGCTTGTCAATGTCCTGAACTTCTCCTGTCCAGCTGCAACAGATAAAATGAATTTACAAAACAAACTACAATTTTAAGGTACACTGCAGTATGATAAGAAATTGTTACTGTCATATGACTTGGAATAGAATGAAACAGCCATAATAAGATCCCAAATTCGACACAACCCTAAAAGATGTCTAAGCTATCAAGGAGCATCCTCAAACTAGACAACCAAAAGGACTTGCACAGATAGCTTGCAATGGCAACAATAGTACTAAAGAGAATATACACCAAGTTTATCTTTATTTTCATGCAATAAGAAAGCAGTCACCAGAAGGTGCCAAAGGAGACCCAACCTAAGTGAAAGGCAGCATATTGACCACTCGCTTGGGGAATAGTAACAGCCTGCCTGCCACACACACACATCCTCTAAAAGAAAGGGAATCCCTTCCTGATAGCCACGCAAATTAAGAAACAGCAGATAGATCCTACAACCAGAATCCGCAAAGCCATTGGCTTCCTGCAGTTTAGTAATTAACCTTTATCCATCTGCTGTTATGTCATATAATTTCCGCTTTTAGTCCTAAGACTTTTACACTCACTACTTCCGTACCTAGTGGCCATATACCTATTGGTGTGATAAATCAAACCACATTGGCAGCCAGATATGTGTAAGACTGTGTGCTAAAGCCTGCTAAACATCCTTCACCCACAACAGGAGGCCTGAACTTTTGAGTTGTGCTAAAGATTGCAAAATATATATCAACAGACCACAGCCACTTGGATATGTAGTGACGTAATAAGGAGGACAAAAACAGAAAGAAAAAGAAAGCAACATAACAAGATATTGAGAGATTAGACTAGGCCATGCTTAACAAAATTAATGTGAAATAATGGGCAATTGCCACTTATTACCAGTATCCCAGATTGTAAGCTTCAATTTCTTTCCGCCGACTGTTAGCAGCTTGATTTTAAAATCCACTCCTGGACAGAGTTAACACGGTTTTAAGAATAAGCAACAAAAAGGCCTAATCTGAGGCGGTTTGGAAATTTCAAATTAAATGTTACAAGCCACACTTGCATCTAATTAATCGGAACAGAAGTCAAGAGTAAAACAACCTATCAAACAGAATACTTTTCACAACTCAAAAAACCCCCTATTCAACAAAGAAGGAAGCTTCAAAAAGAGTGGCAACACTTCGCAACTGTGGCACCAAAGTGCTGATCACTACATTGCATGATTTTTACAGAGAACATTTGCACGAGTACATGCAAACTAAAAGCTTATAACTGAAGAATTAGAAACTATACAGGCATATCAGAATGACATCAAAATCTGGCATTACCCAGCAATGCATATGACCATCTCATGAATCTAACAACGGTATTACCTCAAACATCTTCACTGAAAAAAGTTATATAAATCGAAGCAACCAAGGTCACATCAACTGGCCATTATACCTAAACTGAGATGGTATGACCGTTCCATTCAATATTTCCTCCTTCAAAAACACATAATCCAAATAATCCACCCTTACTCCTAGAACTAATTCAATAACAACAAACAATGTATCAGACGACCATATCCATCAAAAGTTAACAGTACTTTACAAATCCATTTAGTTATTCAAAAAATAACTAATTCGAAAATTCATTTCATAACACAGAATACAAATCTGCACACATGCATGCATCTATGTATGTATGTATGTATGGATAATACACAGAAGAATAAAGTAGAAATCGCTTATCTCTACTGACCATACACTTTACTTGAGTTCTAGAATTAATCCAGAGATCAATTAAACAAATTTCAAATGCAAACATATGAACATAAACTGAGTACATATATGAAGAAGGTACCGATTGTAGGAGTAAGATCGTCGACACAATTTGAAATGAAACTGACGAGAAGACTGCTTTTGCCGACGCCGGAGTCCCCGATCAACAAGATCTTGAAGGACAGATCGTAGCTGTTACTCTGGCCCGACGAAGAGCCCATTCTAATGGATCAGCTTAATGGCAATGTTCGTCTCCCTCTCTCTCTCTGCCTTTCTCTCTCTCAACAGACAACAGTGACAATGTGTATTTAATGTGTGAGTGAGGAAAGAGAACAAAAAAGAGCAAAAGCATATAGCATCTCTCTCTTAAACAATAGAGAAAGAGAGAGTGCGTCATGTGCGTGTGCGTGTGTGTGTGAGAGAGAGAGAGAGAGAGAGAGAGAGAGAGAGAGAGAGTCTACTTCGTTCTTTTCCTCTCACTCTCTGCAGACTTGCGTACCATTTCGTTTGGTACGGAACGGAACGTGAGGTTCGTTGTCGGCTTGTCGTAACCCACCTCCACCTGCTGAGACGGTGGGCAAATTGAGAGTGGCAGTCTTGTGATAATCGAAAAGAGAGTGGGCAAATTGGTTACGGAGGGAGGGAGGACTGGGCTCCATGTTTTTGTTGGCGTGTCAGAATCTGGGTGGGCTTTTTATGGTGGTGGGTACTAAGTTGAACCCAAAAGGTATTTAACAGATTTCCTACTTCATCTATCACACGTACATTATAAAAAGGGATCCATTTTGATATAAAAAGAGTTTCAGTTAAATTTTTATTACAGATTATAATTAAGCAAATTGAACAAATTTTGAATTGGAATGAACCAAGATTGGTTGGAAGAGTTGGGTGGCTTCTAAAGCTTACTAAGGGGATAATTACAACTAATTGGTCGTACTTTTATCGCTCTTTTTCTATATAGTATACAATATTTTCACCAGCATCATACGTATAAGGTATACCATACACAATGCAGCAAGCAATATATGGCAAAGGAAATAGACTCAACAATCTCATCTCACCTCAAGAGTCTTAGGCTTTTTTTTTTTTTGGTTTCATCAACGACCTCATTAACAAGACAAACCACTTGATACTTGGTTTCCATAGTGGTAGACTTATCGTTAATTAGGAAAAATTCGTGGTTGAAGGTACGATATAATATGAATAATTTTGAGAGGGATGTTGATGGCCATTAGATGAGTCTATTTGAAACTATTGAATGGAGTTACTGAAGTCTACTCTGTTTTATATCATAAACTAGTTAAGGCTTGTATGTGAATGCAAGTTACTGAAAAATTTTATTATTAGGAGTGTAGATTGAAAATTCTATGGTGTAAAATATAATACACCTAAATAGTATACAAAATTTGGGTGTGGCTTCTCTACGATAAGTGACCAACCGCATGATATGTGGTTTAATTGAACAGCAACTTTTTGTGGCATTTTTTTTGAAAAACCAAGACCAATAACGACGTCGTTTGTTCAACCAGACCAAACCCAATTTCGTTCAAAAATCCCCAAAATTCATCAAAACCCTAAACGAAGATTCTGCAACTCCAACACCAAGATCAACAACACTTCCTTTATCTCTTCGATATTTCAGTTCGTATAATATATATATATATAGTTCAGTTTGTGTGTATTTATTGTATGGGTTTGAAGGTTAGGGACTTTTATTTTGATTCTAAGGGTAATCCGAGACCTGCAGGTGGGGGAGTTATAGTGAGAACTGAATGGGAGAGAATAGTGATTGCTACAACCTGTTACTATGGTGTCTGTACCAATTTGGAGGCAGAATTTAGGGCTCTTCTTGATGGTTTGAGGTTAATAAAGGAATATGGTTTGGATGTATATAGAATTCTGATTGAGTCAGATTCTTTGATGCTGGTGAAGTCTGTGTTGGGTGTGTTCTGTGCCTGGCCTTTGTGGTCTGTTTTGGAATAGGTTAGAGAGAAGCTTAGTCGATTAGCTTTCCAGATGAGACATGCATATAGGGAAGCTAATTCAGTAGCTGATCAGTTGGCTAATATAGCATTACAGGATGGTCACTCTTTTGATTTTACTATGTCTATGTCCTTGCCTTCTGCATTGAAGCTGGTTCTTTTGCAGGATCAAAGAGGTTTGCCTATGGTCAGGAAGAGGAGGGTGTTAGTTTTTTATGACAAGAGATGAATTGAGAGATGCTTGAATTAGTTGTTAGTGACTGTTATGATTTTGATGATGGGTCCTGAACTGCTGATCACTGTTCTGTTGGTTTCTGGAATGAGGATGGTGCCTTGGAGGAATGTAAATGCCTTCAAAAATTTTGAAGAATGAAAGCCATAAAGTGTAAACTTGGAGAGATTGCATACATTGATTCTTGTACAATGATTTTGTATTTTTACCTTGTACATTGATTTTGTATTTACTTCTTGTACAATGATTTTGTATTTGCTTCTTGTACATTGTTCTTGTACAATAAAAATGTGATTTGTGGAAAATGCGATTGATGGTGGTTTCAAATATACATGCCTATAGAATAATTTAAAATCCTTTGTTTGGAGCACTGCCACTAATTACCATTGTCCTTTCATGTTGGTAGTGTTGAAGAATAACATATTCAAGCACGGCAACAAGCAATGGCGAGTTAAGATATTGCAATATGCAATGCACTAATTGTAAGAAAAAGTGATTATCAAAGTTTTCGAATTGAAAAAAATTCCTAAGAAGCTATACTACAAATGTCCAGGCGAGAGATGCTAATTTTTTAAGTGGATGACTCCTACTACTCTATCTTTTTCAAAAATTACAAATGAAGGGATAAATGTATGACGAATTGAAGAAGATGTAATGACATTGAAGTTGAAGATTGAAGAACTTTCTACTATAGTTCAACGTGTTGAGGCAAATGAAGGAGCAATGAAGTCATATATGTTTGTAGCCACGTTATTAGTAGTGATACTTATGTTTGTGATTCTAGTGAAGTAGAGACATAATAACAATGGTGTATTTATGAAACTTGTGTTGTGAATGAACTTGTGGGTTTTGTATAGTGTTGTGAGTTGGAAAAAAGATCATGGTCATCAAAAAAAGATCATGTTCATTAAAAATACAAAAAACATGGTTTTCAACAAAATATCATTCCAACTGCTATCCCCCAAGCATCTAGTATCTCTTAATCCAACAAGTAACTAGTATCCCCCAAGCATTCTTACAATTGTTGCTCATTATACATGTCGCAAATCATCACCGAAGAAGTTATTCATAAAAAATGATTCAACATTATTTAAAGAATGCACATGTGNCAATCCAATAAGTAACTAGTATCCCCCAAGCATTCTTACAATTGTTGCTCATTATACATGTCGCAAATCATCACTGAAGAAGTTATTCATAAAAAATGATTCAACATTATTTAAAGAATGCACATGTGTTGAATTAGTCAGAATACCTTACAGTACTGAGAATAGATCAGACAAAGAAACTTGAATTATATGTGAAACAACGAAATTAGTAATACGGTAACATACCATAATACTTTGTAAACTATTCAAAGCTTGAGAAGACAAAGAAACCGATGTACATGAGTGACTGAAACCATATACCTTGAATACAAAATATAATGATAAGTACATTTATATTTATAAAAATATGAAGTGAATAAAAATACCTACAATTATATTTATACGATACCTTAGACACATGTGATAGTTGTGAAACTCCCTTTTTTCTCTTTGGTGCTTTCTCATGCCAAGATTTTAGTCGACCCCAACCTTTGTAACCTCTCTCTTTTCTTTTTAAACCTTTAACTTGGAGAATGTTTGAGTCAACATTTTCTATTCCTTCTTCATGGATTGAATTATCACCAACATACCAATTGATGCATACATAATATCCACTTGTTTGAATAATTCTTCAACACCACGTGACACCAATTGATATGCAGGTTGAAGACCAGAGCATCGAGCAACTAGTTGTACAATTCTAAGACAAAACTGCCTGTAATGTGACACCACCATTAACTTAGGAGCCTCTTCATTTGACATGGTACTGGAGGTCTGAGTACAACTCTATCTTGCATCTCGTCTCCATCTCTTAAGTATGTATTACTCGAAAATTTGTTTAATATTCATCATGTTTAAGACTTTAAGTGTATGGTCACATAATATGCCCACCATTTTAAACTTTTGATAGCTACGATTGACTATCTCCTCATTAACCTTAACCAAGATCAAATACTCTCTATGTTCATTAAATAATCGAACAACAAATTGATGCCACAAATCCAACACATCACCTGGTGTAGCAATAGCACACTGAAAGATATCATACTCTACTTGAAACATCTCAAATATAGTAGCAGTGTACATTTGCCCTGCTTGCACTAACATTGGAGCTCTTTTTAACTTCAATGTAGGTAATTTTTCTTGCTTGGTATTTTAAGTCTGACTCCTTATACTGCTTATCATTCACAACTCTTTCAAAATGTACAAAGAACTAAACAATGTCATGACTTTAAGTACTTCTGAAAGGCTGCATTCAAGCTCTCACTTAGTTGGGTACTTCTAATTCCTATAGTGAAAGTTCTCTTCATATACACATGCCCCCATTTCTCTCGCAATGCCCAAGTGGATTTTATCAACATATTATCATGCAAATTATACTCCGCAAGCAACAATTTTCAAGTCTCAAATAATTCATGTTTTTTCTCATATCCATACACACACTCTTTAAATCGAGCAGAAAAATGTGAATCATCCTTATATATGTTCCTTAAATGTTTCAAAGAATTTTGGTAAAAGTGCCAATAACATTACCCATGGTATGTCTGTGACATCACTTGAGAAATAGCTTTAGTCATTACTTGATCTTGGTTGGTGAAGATGATAATAGAATATTTTCTGGACATAGCTTGTAGGAATGTCTCAAATAACCACTGAAATGATGTTGTCGTTTTATCATACAATAATGCAGCTCCAAATAAGATTGTCTACCTAAAATGGTTGAAGCTAGTAAAACAAGCAAAGGGTTAATACTCTTTGTTCGCTCTAAGAGTAGTGTCAAATGAGATAACATCCCCAAAGTTGCATTAATCAATAATCATCCTTTGGTCTGCCCAAAAATATTAGTAGTATGCTCCTTTGCATCCAATTGTACTCCATAATAGAATGATGGATTTTTAGTTGTTTCCATTTGAAAATACTTCAACAAACTACCCACCTCACTATACCTCAAGTCTCATTGCCAATTTTCACGGTGGTAATTCTTTTGGTCTTAACAAGTAAAACATAGATTTTCCTTTCCTCCTGACTACTCAAGAGTTCATAGGAAGCCTTAAGTGATATTCTATAGTCCACTGTCATATCAATATTAATGTCTTGTGTTCCAGTAACCTTCTATTGAGATGAC